GGATTCGAACCCGCCACCTTAGGTGTACATGTCTGGCGCCTTAGCCGCCTGAGCCACAGGCGCCGAGCCTGCATTTCCACTTTTAAGGTCTTTCCCCCCCCCCACCCCATGTGGACATTTTTACCTTTTCTTGGGTATAAAAGTGAGGTTCTTAGTCTTTGGGGCTCCTAGTATCTGTGAGATCAGTTCTGAACTCTGCAGCCTAGCCTGGCTCACTTGGCGGCAGTCAGTAGATGGGCCTCTCCTTCACTGATGCCGGTTATGCCAGTTACTCAGTTACCTTACCATTAGCGGAGTGCACTCTGCTGCCTTCTTATGATTTTTATACTCATAAGCTTTTTCTCATAAAAAAGCTTCATGTTTATTTCCCTTCTTACCAATGAGCTTTTTCATTTCTTTTATAAGGCCTAGGTCAATATATATCCCCAAATGACCTTATCAGAATTCTTGAAAATACCTGGAAAATAAAAACAAGACTATTACATAAAGATATCTTAATTTTAACAGCCAGTGTAATTCAAATGTAGGTGGTCAAAAGTATGATAGGGGATTATTTTTGCTTCTGAGCAAATAACTGCTTTACATAGAAATTGAAATGTAAACATTTTGCAACTGATGAATCATATGGTTGCCATTCTTCATGGATAGTAATAAATACTCATCAATCTGTCCCTGGTTTAGTGAATGTGAAAACGAGTGTTACTGCTAGGATATTACCCCGCAGTAGTGAAGAGTTTCAGATGTTCACAGTCAACTAGAGTGAAATAATAGCACTGTTTAGGGCTATGTGAAAATAGTCACCAACAACCTTTTCTCCCTGAATTTAGTAATAGGAAAAAAAAAAAATTGGCTCCCCACCCCCAATTCTTCATGTGAGCATAGTCTAGAAATCTGTTTCAGAATCCTAATAACACTTCTAACATTATCTTTCTTCTTCCTCAGGTTCTAATATCAAATAAATATAATAGATTCATTTGGATATTTTCCAGTGAATATATTTTATTTTTAATGGCTATGTTGAAAACTATATATAGGGGGGATTTAGCCTCTCACTCTGCTTACTCCTCTATAAGGTGCTTGTTTTATTAACCAGAATTGCCTCTTCTTGTTATTTGAACAGTGACATCATAACTTTAATACTTTCAGACCTAAGTAACACAAAAGCCCTAATTCCAGAACCTATAGAAAGAATGTTGAATCCCAGGATAATGCTGGGAATACCAGCCACAACTCTGTTTTGTTCAGAATTTTATTTTTGTTTTCTTTTTTTTTCTCGTTCAGAATTTGAAATTATTACAATCATTCTCCTAACTGTCCCTAAATTAATCTGTATATTTTTAGTCAAAAAAAAAAAAAAAAGGTTATTAGGGCTCGGCCCCTATATTCAGCAGCTAGGGCACCAGTCACATACAATGGGGCTGGTGGGTTGGAGCCCAGCCCAGGCCTGCCAAACAACAAGGGCAACTACAACAAAAAAACAGCTCGGCATTGTGGCAGATTCCTTTAGTCCCAGCTACTTGGGAGGCTAGGGCAAGAGAATTGCTTAATCCCAAGAGTTTGAGGTTGTAAGCTGTGATGCCAGGGCACCCTTCCGAGAGTAACATAGTGAGACTCTGTCTCACAAAAAAAGAAATGGTTATTAAGTTGAAGATACTTTAATAAATGGCACAAGCATTAAAAACCAAAAGGCATTGACTAAATGTTTCAGTGATTTTATAAATAATGAAATAGTCTATGACTGTTTAAAGCTGTGTTGGAAAATGGGATATGGCAAGGCTCCCTATCTTGAACAGTTGGAAGAAATGGTTTATTTCTATTTTTAGAATGGTTGACATAAACTGTTATCACTATGACGAATTATTCTAAGATACATATTTTTAGAGTTATTCTCCATTTCTAAATTTGGATTTCAAGTTCACTAGGTTAAT